GTGCTACGTATGCCTGGTCACCGCTTACCTAGGAGGGCCTTGTTTAGTCTGCCAGGTGTAGGGTGGCGCAAGGCTCGAGGTGGACAGAAGTTGACTTGGCAACGGGAAATGAAGTCACTGACGACCAAACTGGGTGCCGTTGGTCCGTCTCGCCTTCCGGGCTGGAGTCCACGTGACTCGCCTTGTGCTTGGCTCGAGACTTTACAGGACATGGCTCGCAGTAGACACCAGTGGCGCGTCTGCTGCCGTCTCCTAATCGGATTGCCTGTTTAAAGTGTGTTTGGTGCTGAGTTATCTGCGGGGTAATGGCTGATTATGACGCGTGGCAGTGAAAGCCGCAAGGAAGCTGTCTCGCCGATGCCGCCTTATCTTTGCACGATAGCCAGCTGTTTGTGACGGTATGTTGTCTACACAAGGTGTAGGCGCCTTGACCCTGAATGTTTGCTTAGGGCATTAAGGTTTTCAGGTAAGTCCCTTCTCTCCCTCTTCTTATTCTTTATTTCATAGGTCCTCATGGTTGTATGGCAGCGAAGCATCAGTTCAAATGGCTGATGTACTGCTGTTAATGATGACGCTGATGATTAAACTATACTGCGTGGTGTCTCCGGGCCCCTTGAGAGCTACTCCTATCAGGTTATTCCATGGATAGAGGTTAGACAAACAGTTTCCTGTTCATCCAGCTTGGGAGTGTGAAATTTATGGTGTCCATTTATGAAACACCGAAACATTGCCATCTCCCCGCTACCTTTCGGATAGGCTTTTGAGCGAAAGGCTTTATTTGAGAACCTTAATCATCCTTCTGTCTAGACATGGGCATCCTGTCAGTATCTCAGCCTACATAAAACCATGACAATTTCCTCAAACATTAACTACTTCTTGCATTGGTGATCACGCAGGTCATTAAGGGCCGCCTTATCTGCTCTACACAGCAGGGCGTGTAAGCGAAGACATGCTACTGTTGGCATCACACTTCTTTCTTCTACACTTGTTTTTCTTACTCCTATCCCGGTCCCCACTACTATCCTTCCTTCTACTATTTTCCAGGTTAGTTGATAGCAACCGAAGTGCCACTAGAATAGTATCATCTGCAGTCACCTTCCCGCAACACAAACCGGACGCATATAGGCAAAAGTCCCTTATAAGACCACGCTGTCCCGTTTCGCTAGTTGCGTTCAACGTTCGCACTGTAAGATAAATAGGTCGACAGGCTGCGCTCGCACGTACCTTGGACACACTGGGTATTTATGTGCTCTTTGTGTACGAAAATAAGCTCAATGACCATAACGGCATTGTTGAATTAATTGCGCCTGGCCTGTACTCTCGCTATTGGTTGCATGCAACCATAGACGCAGCATTCAGGGGTCAAGCTGGGGTAGGTATCATTCTCAGCTCTAAGTCTGAGCTATTGCTGGTTGATCGGATTCCGGTGAGCAGCCGTTTGTGCGCAACCCGTTTGACGTCATCAAGCAAGGTTGATTCACGAAGTAGTATAAAACGTTGTTTATGATTTCCGCTTCAGCTCACACTGACTGCAGTTCTGATGTTGCAAGAACACCTTCTATCACAAAGTGAACGTGCTCCTACGCAGTGCTACTAGTTCAGATATCATAGTAATTTCTGGGGATATGAACACACAAGTAGGCCGTCTGAGCTCCTCAGAAGCTCAGCTAAGTGGTGCTTATAGGCTAATCCACGAACGGACTGATCACGACGAGCGTCTGCTGCCAATGTGCGGATCACCAGTTTTTTCTAAGTTTCGCTGTTTTTAGACACAGCGGGTGCCGAAATGCCACTTAGCGTCCTCCTGCAGCTGGCCAGCAATGAACTCAAATTGATCACGTTACAGGTAGCGTGGTTCCATCCTGGATTGCCGCTCGTACTGGAATACCTGTGTCGACTATGATCATGCCTTGATACGCTGTCGTCACTTCATGAACTTGCCCGGGAAATGCACGACACGTTTCCTCCAATTAGCAACGGAGAAATTGTCTCAGCCCTCGGTCAGGAGAGTCTATCAAGACACTGTGTACCGAAATTTCGCTGTCATCTTCTAATGACACTGAACTTCAATGGAATAGGATCTCGGCCGTTCTGCATGACGCAGGAGCATTTGCTTGTGACACTGTCAATGGTCACCGCACCGGTCACTGGATATCCGAGAGGTCGATGAACCTGTTGGAATCCAGAAGAAAACTCTCGACTGGCTACGAGCAGAGTGTGACCAGACAGACTATTATGCGCGAACTAAAGCGGAGCTTACGTGCTGACAAGGAAGCCTGGTGGACCAAGAAAAATAGGAGGAGGCAGGAGCAGTAGGTAATTACCGTAAGCTCTTCCAGCTGATCCGCACCACTGGTCCCAAAAACCAGGCGTCAGTGAGACAATCAGAGACAGCGCGGGTGCGCTGGTACCCAATAAGGAGCGCCGTATGGCTCGTTGGGTGGAACACTTTCAAGAACAGTTCAGCTGGTCCCCTGCTTCCGGATCTCTACTTATTCAGATGATACAGGACGAGCCATGGACAGTTATTTAAGGGGCAACATCGGAGCCTGCGGTCCGAAAAGCAATCGCAGACGTCATTCGTCTTCTTGCTGCTGGCCCGGATTCCCCTTGCACCCCCACGGTATAAGGATGGGAGTGAGGTCCTTTGCAAAGCACTAACCTCCATATTCGAACATATTTAGTGGTGTCACGGCTGATTAGAGCAAATCGATTATAGTGGCGATATACAAGAAGGGCAGTCGCACCGACTGTGCTAACCACAGGAGTATTAGCCTTACGCCAGTCATGACAAAGTTAGTGACTTCGACTCTCGTTCGTCGCCTCACTCTGGAACTGGAATCTAGGATCAAAGAAGAGCAAACCAGTTTCCGCCAGGAGCGTGGTTGCATGCACCATATATTCACTTTACGGTTGGTGCTGGAGCAGCGCCACGCATACCGCAGACCGACAATACTTGTATTCCTCGACTTCAAGAGTGCGTTCATTTCAGTAGGTCGATGCATTCTGTTAGCATTACTTGCGCGGAAAGGTATTCACACGAAATATGTGGGCATCCTACTTGCTCTATACTCAAACACTAAAGACCGCGTCAGGGTCTGCAGTGACCCATCGGATAGCTTTCCGACAACAACTGGCGTTCGTCAGGGTTGTTCCATTCCCTGTTTTTTTGTTCAATTTCGTCGTGGACTCCATCATGGAGTGTACCCTTAGGGATTCTCACCATGTAGGTATTGAGATCCTGCCTGGTGAAAGGCTACTTGATCTTGATTATGCGGACGATATCGTCTTGCTTTTCGACGATGTTGCGGTGGCATAATCAATCCTGAATAGCCTCCACCTTGAAACTGCACTATGAAAGTGCAGTGTTGCTGCAGGACCACGTGCCACATGCTGACCCCTTGACAACGAGGTAGTTGAGGTGGTTGATCTATTCGCTTATTTTGGCAGCTGCATCGGCAACGATGGGTGCTTAGCTACTGAGGTCAGTTCACGCGTAGCAAAAGCCGGAACTGCCTTCTAAAACCTGTGGCATCTTTGGCGACAGAAGGGAGTTTCCATCCCTCTTAAAGTCCGTGTTTTCAAGGACACAGTGAGGGCCGTCCTGCTTAATGAGTGTGAAACCTGGCCCCTTTGGTCTGAAGATCTGAGAAGATCTGTTCATCGTTGTCTGCGTAGCATTGCTGGTGTCGGACGGCACCAGCGTGTCCGCAACAATGATGTGCGTAGGCGAGTATAAGGTAGTGATAACTAAGCTAGTTCCTTAGAACAACAGATAGCACTGAATAAGTTGCGTTGGCTCAGGCACGTGCTACGTATGCTTGGTCGCCGCTTACTTAGGACAGTCTTATTTAGTCTAAGGTGGCACAAGGCTCGAGGTGGACAGAAGTTGACTTGACAGCTGGAAATGAAGGTACTGACGACCAAACTGGGTGCGGTTGGTCAGGTTCGCCTTCTGGCCTGGCGTCCACGTGACTCGCGTTGTGCTTGGCTCGAGACGTTACAGGTCGACTCGCAACCGACACCAGTGGCGCGTCTGCTGCCGTCTCCTAATCGGATTGCCTGTTTCAAGTGTGTTTGGTGCTGAGTTATGTGCGGGGTAATGGCTGACTATGACGCGAAGCAGTGAAAGCCGCAAAGAAGCTGTCTCTCCGATGTTGCCTTTGCACGGTAGTCGGTTGTTTGTGACGGCGTGTTGTTAACACAAGGTGTAGACCCCTTGACTCTGAATGTTTGTTTATTACATTAGGGTTGTCAGGTATGCCCGTTTCCCTACCTCTTATTATTCTTTCTCACGTAGGTCATCATGGTTGTATGACAGCGAAGCATCAGTTCGAATGGCTGATGTACTGCTGTTGTTGATTGATCAATGTTTACCTCCGGTGTAATGCAACTAACTCTTTTTTTTCCTTTCTCTTTCTTTACTCTGAATTACGTGCTTGGCTTCCCGAGGAGGGATTTTTCACTCATGATGACATGTAAATTTGTGTGCAGTTTAGCTAGTGACTTGCGTAGCAGTTGGAGTGATAGATTTCCTATCCATGTCATACTTCGGTGTCCACCGTAGTAGGGATACAACGCGTCACGCCTCAAAAATTGTGCCGCAGTTCCTATCCTGTGTCTGACCCAGGCCGTTGTACTAGCCGTTGAGCATAGAAAGTCAACTCAGTCGTTTATTACTTTTTCGCGTGATGGTGATTACTTGCTTGCAACGTTTTTTTCAGACGCTATTTAATATCATTTTGTATTGTGATAGCCCCATCTATTTACATCTATGATTTCAGCTATAGATCCTACTTCCTTTTTTAATTCACCAGGTATAACAATTGCTTTTGTCTGTATGTTGTCAGCAAGATGATTGCATTGAATACTCAGTTGCATCCCGTCTGTCTAGAGGCATATCATGTGCTTTGTAAGAAGATTACATTTTCCATATGCACTCAAAGCATAGGGTTTTCGGCACATTTTTGAATTGAGTTGTGTCCTTAACTCATCTTCAGTATTGTCGTTCTTGTGATGGTTGGACTTCTTTTACTACCTGTTCTTGGATTAACCGGTTTCCACATTTTCTTGGTATCGAAAGGACGCACAACCAATGAACAGGTAAGCGTGAACAGTAATGTGTGCATTTATTCCATGCTTCATTTCATTGTGCCTAACTTTTCAGTGATGTTGGCCTTCCGAAATTATTTACACATTTCCTGATATTTGTATAAGAGAGTGACGTGAACCTTTTTCCTTAAGGGTGATGTTTCTGGTCCACTTTTGAGTGACTCGTTTTTTAACTATCCATATCATGATTGTTCTGCTGGGACACTACATGCTTCCATGTTCACTCACCTGCTTGGTATGTCCAGCTTTTGCTACTTCAGTTAGCCTGTTTGTATCTCGCTTTCGTCCGTCAATCCATGTCTACTCTGGATTTTCTAATTACCTTTTTTTGCTCTAGCATGACATTTCCCCACGCATCATATGGTATAGGTAGCTTAGCTCAGTGTGTCATGTACAGTCGGAACACATACTTAACACTAATAATTGATAACGAAAATAAAAAGAGGCAATATAGGAACAATATAGTGGAGAAAAAAGTTGCGTTCTGGTCATCGGATTGAAATTCCAATGATAGACGCATACTGAATACTGTATTATGGGTGCAAGTCGAAATTTGCATCTATACAACCCAATCGGAATACAATCATTAACGTTAAAGAACCATCTATTGCATATCAAAACGCCGATCGTTTTTCAGCTTTTCACACATCGTAAAAAATAGCGTGGAATTCACAGTAAATTGGGACTCACGAATGTGTGATATCATTGTCAGTGGGCAATCGTTCTCGGGATTTAACACTGGAGAAGTGTAAAACCAACAATGTTTTGAACTGCTGCACCGGGTTTGCTTCCACGGTATGCTCCGGCCATCTGTTCCAAACATTGATCACTCGTCGTTCAAATCACAGCTGATGAGGAACTGGCTTCAAATCTAGAACCAAAAGCTTCTACTGGTGTCCACGTGGGCCGCTAGGTATTCGCAAGGGGGGTCGTGGCCTCAGGATGGGGAAGTCACCTAAACGCAGAGTACAGTAGATCATGCTGAGGTCGACTCGCAGCTGATGATAGACCAGTGTACAGTCCCAGCCTCTCGCAACTGTCTTCGTACAGCAAGCCCCGCTAACTGGGGATGAGAATGGTAACGGCGTGTTGGGCCCATTTGATTTTTTTGTTCCTCACCTCGAGCGGTCAGACAATAGGCAGGCGAACCGTGTATATCCCCGTCACTGTGGTCCCTAGGGGGACAGCCACAGGACGCCTGCGGCTACAGAGGAATCATTGATGGCTTGTGCTACACCACTCACAATTCCACCCACACACCCCAATCCCGGTGTAAACCCGAAGGAATAAGACCGGGAGGCATGCGCATGGGAGCCAGCCTACACTCCTTCAACAAGCAGAACAGAAGCATTCCTACCTAATTGGGAAATCATGCGCACCAAACGTGCACAAGGCGTTGGCTAGGCCGTAGTCCGTTCCACACTGGATGGAACCACCCTTTGAACCTAGCACCGTCGCGAGGACGGAACATCCCGTCCCCTCCAGCAACGGCCAACTGTCTCCTGGAGCCACTATGAACAAGGTGGTGGGTAATAGGTAGGCATCTTGTCAACATTTACATAAGACGCAGCCACACCGGGGAGCTCAATCAAAATCTAACTCCCGAAATGCAAGCATACTCAACATGCAGGAAAAGGTACCATATCAGCCGCCTTATTGGCCTGGATTAGTAAATCGAATGGGAGCGGACGCATCGCACATCTCCGTGTACAATAGTGCCTTTTCCTGCACCCGGGCAACCGCCTTCTTGGTCAGTCCACGGCATTCGAACCGATCAACTGTACCTCTGATTCCCAGCGCCTGAAATCAGCAATACTTCGTGATAAACTTGCCTTGTTCATGTCCCGCTAACGTGATTTCGGTTTGCCCTCTTGCCGCTTCCCTGCACTAACTTGGCCGTACAAAAGACGTTTGAGTATTCTCGTGGAATCCACTCGGTTTATATATGTACATGGATTGGCAGTATCCGTATCCAGTAGCAGTTTTGTGGGACTTCCAATGCTTATTGGACAACATCAATGGCAAAATTGAAGAGAAAAGGTGTGGTGGGGCAACGACTCACGCCTCAGGTGACAGTAAACGATGTGGAAAGCATGCCGTAAGCCCTGACTTTGCCTTCAGGATGGTTACAAATTTTAATTGTATTATTTTCGTCCCAGCTGCTCACAAACTACATAGCACAGCCTAGTCCGGAAAAGCACCAGACGCCTTTCGCCCTGGCGCTCGTCGGTGGTGCGCATTCCATCGGGCCCCTATTGGGGATCCGAGATAGGGATAGATGTCACCTAGTCACCTTTCCTTAATAGACGGTTCCACAACACAAATTTGTCTACTGAGTCAAAAGCCGCTCGGATGTCCAAGTACGCTACGGTTGTTGGCCGTTGATGGAGGTGACGTAGTTCAGAAACTTGGACGCAACGGAGATCAACGAAATTCCGCGGTAATTGGTGCAATCGTTGTTGGAGCCTTTCTTGTGAATCTGGACAATGCCCGATTCTCCCCATGCAATTGGGACTTTCTTGTCAGTCCAAATTCTCGCAAACTGATAACATTTCGTTGACAACTACATTCCCGCTGTAGTTGAGTGGAGCCGGGGGTAAACTATCAGGCCTGGGAGTTTTATGACATTTCAAAGATTGGATTGTGCTTCGGATCTTCGTTTCGTTAAGAGCATCTGTGGCGATAGGCCAAGCACCATCCGAGGTAAACGGAGGTGTCACGGTGTGATGTGCTGAGCAGTTAAATTTGAAAGCAAAGTGCTCTTTCCAGCGACCCTAGCACCTGTGCAGGCTGGTGATTCTCGTGCCGTCTGACTCACAAACCGTCTGACTGACAGCATGTAAATTGCAATCAGTGGTCTTGATGAGGTAAAATAAGTTGCGGAAGTTTCCAGCCGATGCAGCGCCTTCCATCTCAGCAACTCCTTTTAACCACCAGGATTCACGATCAGAGTGGAGGCTTGAGAAAGAGACCGGCGACGTTCATTGTGCTCCGCACCGGCGAGCACAGGTCGTCTACGATTCAGCAGTTCCGAGGATCTTACCGAAATCCAGTTTCTGGTTGTGCAGCGGACAAGTCGGCGGACACCATTGCTTGCTACAAGTTAGACCAGTGTTGTTTAGCATCCAGCGCCTGGGGTAAAGTGAGATTTTCGCAATGCCTCTATTCATACTTTGTTTTCACCTTTGGCTCCTCCATCTTATGAGTGTTGAGTCAGATTTGCTTGGCATGGATGAACCGCTGAAACGCGTGCAAACCATCGCACACACCAATGCATGGTCGGTATCAACACAAGTTGACCAAAATGATCAGCAGTTGCGTACGTTGCCGCGCCCCCTGCGACTAATGGCTATGTGACCAATTTGTGACCAGCGCTGGGTTGACGATGGAAGACACCAGGTGGCATATTGGCGTCCAGAGTGACGAAAACTCGTACTGGAGAGGAGACGTTGATGGACAGCGCGTAGATTGAGCAGTCTATCCATTGTCAGAGCGAAAGTCATACTCATGCGTTCCTCCGACGTGGCGTTTACATAGCAGCAGCCGACCATTACGTGCATTTCAGTCTCCTGTCATAACGACGATGTGTTTTAGGTGCCCTTTGCAGCAGCTCATGCAGATGTTGATAGAACTGGTCCTTGAGTGCATCCGTGACTGTTGACTGGAACCCAGCCAAGGAGGGCAGCACTGAGGGCGATTCCAACACCAGCTTGCTCATATGCGGCGGACTCAGCTTCACCAGAAAAGGGAAGATAAAAGCGGGTGTATAGTTGGACTGATGACGACAGCTGGTAGACTGTGTTGGAATCCTGCAGTCGGGTTTCATTCAAGCAGCAGACATCAATTTCAAGGGTCTCCAGCGTGCGCGCAAGTCCAGCATGCTGTCCGATCTGCAGTAATGTGCGCACGTTGAGGGTTGCTAGTTTGAAGTACATTCCAGGTTGCAGTAGCAAACCGTGTTCTACCATTGGTCTGATGATGAAGAAGAGATGTGAGGTGATCCTTTCAGACCAGATTCAGAAGCCGCGTTTTAGCTCCCATAGCATGCTCAGTCCGTTTCGATCTAGCTTGTTCCTGTTGTCCACGCAATGTAAGAGCACACCTAAGTCCTTCACAAAAGTGTGGGATGTAGCATTTGGCCGTCAAGTAAGTACGTCGAATCGTCACCACCCTGCCCCAGGCTCATGAATACCGACTTGATTGGGTTGACCGGGAGGCGGCCTTCTCCATATCACATTTAGAGACGGTTGACGTCTTGCTGAAGATAGATTTGTGTTATAAGGCAGGAGCAACGTTGGCCCCAGCGCCGAGCTTTATGGTGCGACACTGGTCGAAGGATATCAGTCGATCAGGTGGCTATCTACTCGCACTCTTTACCTTCGTCCGAGAAAATCGCGGATCCAGTGGTGCTGTGTGCCGCCAACACCGCATACTTCCAGCTTGTGAAGAGGACCTCGTGGTTTACCTTGTCGAATGCTTTGTTGAAATCTATCTAGTTCACGTTGGCAGACTTTCCCTGATTCACTACTTGCATTCACACATACAGATTGATGATGCACGAACGACCTGGAATAAAACCGTGCTGTGCGGGCTCCAGGGGATCTTTTGACCGGAACAAGTGTAGCAAACCCTTCACCATTTTCTCGGCAATTTTGGCCAAAATAGGTGTCAAACAAATTGACCTGTAAATGTCTACGTTGTTGAGGTTTCCACCTTCTGGAATAGGCGTTCTACCGAGAGTTTCCAATTACTCGGCAACGAACCTTCTGACAGCGATTTGTTGAATAGGTCAGTCACAACAGGCAAGATGATGGCCGCTAAGCATTTGAGAACTAATGGGTAGAGTTCATCAGACCAAGCAGGCTTGGTGCCGACAAATTTGGCGAGTAGTTCTAGTGCCTCTCCCACGCCACAATCCAGCTTCGAGTTCGGTAAAGGAAGTGGACCTCGAACTCGATACAGATACCTGGTCATTTTCATACACGGAAGCG